GTCCAATTGCCCCTGTAGTGATAATTGGAATTACGGATGAGCCCCCAAATTGTTAGAAATAAGGCGAACCCCCAAAACTAGGGGTCCTGGCAGAATACAAAGCATACTCGGGAGCCAGATAGTAAGGCAAATATCATTAACTCCTGCAGGAGGGTGCAAGACACATAGTCTGGCAGCACAAACACACTGAGCAGGTGATCTGCTCAGGGTTTTATGCCCTACGCACGTGATCTGTCCCTCACTCTTGATTGGTCAGAGCTTAGACTCACAGTCTTGTGCAATTGGCTAATTTAAAGGAAGGGGTTGACCTTTGTTATTTCAAAATGGTGGCCCCCAGGGGAGCTGCAAGTCACAAGGGCCAACATGGTGGGTGCCTAAACTACCTTCTTTGACAGAAAAGATTACTTGTTTATTCTCACATATTCTTTGATTTGAGAGAGAGGGGGGGGGAGAGAGAGAGAGAGAGAGAGGAAGGAAGGGAGAGGGAGAGAGAGATAAAATCATTGATCAGCTGCCTCCTGCATGCCCCCTACTGGGGATCGAGCCCACAACCTGGGCATGTGTCCTGACCAGGAATTAAAACTGGTGACCTCTCAGTGCATGGAATGATGCTCAACCACTGAACCACACCAGCCAGGGCTGGTGCAACTTTTCTTTATGTTCCCCTTATGCTTGCAGTTAATGGAGCTTCTTGGAATTTTGGGGGTTTATAGTTTTCAATAAGTTTGGATTTTTTGCCATTATTTCTTCAAATATTTGTTCTTTTCCCCTCATTTGGTGACTTCAGTTACATGTCTATCAAGCTACTTGAAGCCACAGTGCAGCTCATTGATACTCTTAAGTTTTTAACACTATTTTTTTCTCTGTGCATTTCATTTGGATTTTTCTATTGCTATGCCTATGCAGTCACTGCTCTTAGTATTTAATATGCTGGTAGTCTCATCTACTGTATTTTTTGTCTCCAGAAATTCTACTTGACTCTTCTTTATATGCCCTATCTCTACTTAACTTTTTGAACACAGAGAATACAGTTCTGATACCTGCATGTCCTTCTCTGGCAGTTCTAATGTCATGTCATGCTGAGGTCCAGCCCCAGCAGGTCCAGGGGTTCCCCATAGGTGTGGACGGAGTCAGCGAAGAAGGAATGACACAGAGACGGCCTTCAGTTGATCAGCAGCCTAGCCAGGATCTCTAGCCAGGCTCTCCAGCCAAGTTCTGGTCAGGATCTCCAGCCAAGTTCTGCTTAGGATCTCCAGCCAGGTTCAGTCACCAGGTTCTAGTCAGGTTCTCTTGCCATGTTCTATTCAGGTTCTGTAGCCAGGTTCTGTGTCCATGTTCTCTTGCTAGGTTCTCCAGCCAGATTCTGTCCAGGTTCTCCAGCCAGGTTCAGTCACCAGGTTCTAGTCAGGTTCTCTTGCCATGTTCTATTCAGGTTCTGTAGCCAGGTTCTGTGTCCATGTTCTCTTGTGTTCTCTCGCTAGGTTCTGTTTCTAGGTTCTGTCTCTAGGTTCTTCAGCCAGGTTCTCTCGCTAGGTTCTGTTTCTAGGTTCTGTACAGGATCTCCAGCCAAGTCCTGTCTCTAGGTTCTGTTTTTAGGTTCTGTGTCTAGGTTCTGACTCTAGGTTCTGTCTCTTGTCGTCTTGTTACATCTGTTTTTATACCAGTTGATTTTAGTCCTGTCAATTTCTATTCCAAAGGTTAGGGCATTTCTTATCTCCATTCCAGGGAGTAAAGATTATGTAGCTTAAGCGTGATTGTTTGTAGTTAAAGTGATTAACTACCCGCCTGGCACTTAGTTAAGAGGTTTTATCCCCTCCCTAACTTCAGGGAAAAATCCCTACCTGGGCAAACAACCGTTCTTGGAGAGGTGACCTTGGTTAAAACACATAGCGCTAAGGGGAGCAAACATATTAAGAACAGTATGCCATATACGCCAGGTCCCTTGAAACATATGCTGTGTAGATGTTTCTTCTCTGCAGCGACTGTGTCAAGCAGCAAGGATGGACCGGCTCCCGGCAATGTCAGTTCTGACTGATCATTCTCCACATTGAGGGTCCTGTGTTCCTGCCTCCTTGCATGTCTGGAGACTTCTGACTGTGTGCCTGACACTGCGAGTCTTGCCCTGCGGGGAGCTGGATGTTGTGCATTCCTGCAGGTCTCCTGGAGCTATGTTCTGGAAAACAGTGGCTTCTTTGGAAGCACTTTGGTTGTTTGGTGTGTGATTTGTTAGTTGGGGCCAAGGCAGCACTCAGGGCTAATTCTCTTCCTACTGGGGAGAGAACGCTCCTGAGCACCTCCCAGATGCCTGTGGGTTGGGTTTCCAGTCTGGCTGTGGAAATAGGAGCATCCCAGACCTTGTGCCCCTCCAGCATTGTTTCCTCTAGCATCTCAGGTGGCTCTTCCCTCACATGACGTACTAATCAGTCACCTGCTTAATCCCTGAGGGAGGGATCCCTCTGTGTAGCTGCCTCTTCTCTGGTTTTCTGTCCTGTGACTCCAGCTGCCTTCTGTCTCCTCAACTCAGGGTATGCCTGGCTCTGCCTCAGCTTCCTCTTCTGGGTCTGAAGGCAGGAAGCTGGGGCAATCACAGGGCTCACCATCGTTTCCTGTCTATAAGGGCTCAGTGTCCTTGCTTAATGCTCATTGACTTGAAACCATTATGGTGATTCTGTACCCAATTCCAAAGTGTGTGGGTTTTCTCTACAGCAAGCAATCCTTGCACACCAGCTGGGTGTCCTATAATTTAACTCAGTTTGACATTATCTACTTGAAGATAGCGTCAGACCCCACAGGTTAAGGGCTCAGAACCACAAGAGTGAAAGGGTTCAGATGCCAATGGTAAATCCAAGTTGTCACCTGTGCTTCTTTGTGTCAGAGGTTCTCACAGCCATCTCCTCGGGTTCCATTAATTTGCTAGAGTGGCTCACAGAACTCAGAGAAACATTTACTTATGAGGTCACTGTCTTAATGTAAAAATTATAACTCAGGAACAACCAGGTGGAAGAGATGCACAGGACAGGGTATGGGGAAGGAGGGGGGGCTTGCATGCTCTCTGAGCCCAGCACTCTCTCTGTAGCTCCACATGCCCACCAACTGGGAAGCTCTCCAAACTCCCATCCTTTTGGGTGTTCCTGGAGGCGCCATCACAAGGCACGATTGATTCAACCTCCAGCCCCTTTACCTTACCTCGAGGGACTGAAGCTTCCAACCCTCTAATCCAGGGGTCCTCAAACTTTTTAAACAGGGGGCCAGTTCACTGTCCCTCAGACCGTTGGAGGGCCGGACTATAGTTTAAAAAAAAAAACTAGTCGGCTGCTAAGCAACAGGCAGCGGTGGCAAAAACACCCGGCGGGCCGGATAAATGTTTTCGGCAGGCCGCATGTGGCCCACAGGCCGTAGTTTGAGGACCCCTGCTCTAATCACATGGTTGCTTGTCCTGGCAACCAGCCCTGTCTTAGGGGCTTTCCAAAAGTCACATTCTATATAATAAAAGAGAAACATGCAAATTAACCATCCCTCTGCTATGCTCAAGCCACACCCACCAGCCAATCAGGAGCAAGTATGCAAATTAACCCAACTAAGATGGTGGCAGCCACAGAGCTGGAGCGAGCAGGAGGCTTGGGTTGCCTCCGGTGATGGAGGAAGCCAAGCTTCCTGCCTGCCCTGGCTGGCCCTGGGATCCGCTCAAGGCTACAAAGTTTCAATTATAGAAGATAAATAAATCCCAGGAAAAAAAAGAAAAAGAAAAAAAGAAGAGGCTGGGAGCTTGGGTCACCAGGGGGTGTGGTCAGCCTGAAAACGGCCATCAGCCCCTCACCCAGCTGGCCAGGCACCCCAGCGGGACCCCCACCCTGATCCGGGAACCCTTCAGGGCAAACCAGCCAACCCCCACCCATGCACCAGGCCTCTATCCTATATAATAAAAAGGTAATGTGCAAATTGATCCTAACAGCAGAACGACTGATCACTATGACACACACTGACCACCAGGGGGCAGACGCTCAATGCAGGTCTGCTCCCTGCTGGCAAGTGGACATCCCCCAAGGACTCCTGGGCTGCCAGAGGGATGTCTGACTGCCAGCTTAGGCCCGATCCCCCCGTGGAGTGGGCCTAAGCCAGCAGGTGGACATCCCCCGAGGGGTCCCAGTCTATGAGAGGGCACAGGCCGAGCTGAGGGACCCCCCCAAGTGCACAAATTTTTGTGCACTGGGCCTCTATTTATTAACATAAACTCAGGTGTGCGTATTTTGTTTCACGTATTTTGTTTGTTTTAATTGTTTCAACTGGAGGGTGTCTTAGTTCATGCTGCTCTAACAAAGCACCGAAGACAGGGTGGCTTATGAACAACAGAAATGTATTTCTGCATTTTGGAGGCTGAAAGTCCAAGGGCCAGTGCCAGCACCATTGGATTCTTCTGAGTCATAGATGGCCCTCCTGGCTGTGTCCTCACACGGTGGAAGGAGTGCTGTGGGGTCCCTTTCATAAGGGCACTAACCTCATTTCTAATGGCCCCACCCTCATGATCTTGTCATCCCCCAAAGGTCCCACATCCGAATGCAATCACCTTGGAGGTTAGGCTTCAGCATTTGGGGGGCACACAAACATCCTGTCCATAGCAGAGAGCAGATCCAGTCCCTGTTACACCATCATGACTATAAGTGGAAGCCCTCAGCTGAGGCCCAGATACACCAATCTCTGCCCCTTAGTGGGATGGAATTGGAAGATGTTGCCACTTACCCTGCCTTCCATTTGTGAAGCTCAGAGTCACCCATATCTATAATTTGTTGGGTCTTGTAATTAGTTACAGGCCTAGAACTTGGGCTGGTAACAGCCTGGGGATGGGGAGGGGCCACAGGGCAGCTGTGTCCCTATGACTTTTGACTCAGGAGGGTAAGTGGCTCCAGGAACAGCTGTGCAGGGAGAACCAGGTGCCTCTGGGGTGGGGCTGTGCCCGGACAGCGGGAGTGCAGCCTGGCTCCAGCTTCACTCTTCGTCCCCAGTGACCAGCACTGACTATGACACTGCCGCGGATGCCACCGAGACCTCGTCCTACTTCAGCGCCCAAGGCTACCAGTCCAGGTGGGGGCCGCACAGGGGCGGTAGTGCCCAGCAGGCTGGCAGTCCCCAGCCCTGGCATGGGGGTGGCCGTGCTGGCTTGGACCGACAGAATCCCAGTCCTGGAGGCTTCACCAAGGCCACGCGGTCTCTGTCCAGCATGTTAACAAAAGACCTCAGAAGTCATCCAGACTGACCCCACTCCCCTTGCCCTGGACCCCTCACCCATCCACATCATGCTGCCCCTTTCTGTTCCCTGCCAGTCGCGAGCAGGAGGGTGTAGAGTCTACGTCAGAAGAGGGACAATTGCCCCAGGTGGTGGAGGAGCTGAAAGACCTCCAGGTGGCCCCCGGCACACGCCTGGCCAAGTTCCAGCTCAAGGTGAAAGGTGAGGGAGATAGGGCCGGAGGGCTGGGTGGGGTCTCCCACCAGTAGAAGTTAGGTGGTCACTGTGGCCTGGGGGGTCTCCAGGGATCCCCTCAAGTGGAAGACACAGCACCCACCACAACTCTCCCTGTGGTTTCAGGCTACCCGGTGCCCCGCCTGTACTGGTTCAAAGATGGGCAGCCCCTGACTGCTTCTGCGCACATTCGCATGGTGAACAAGAAGGCACTGCACAGCCTGGAGATCCTGTCCGTTACCAGCGAGGATGCCGGCCAGTACTCTGCCTACGTCAGCAACACTGTGGGTGCCGCTTACTCCTCTGCCCAGTTACTGGTCCAAGGTGGGTGCTGGGGGCTGATGTCCACCTGTGTGACCCCCATGGCAGGCCTGGGGTTGGGCCCACGGTCTTCACCCCAGGTGCAGAGGTGTGGTGGGAGGGCAGACACCTGCCTGCCTGCATTCCAGAAGGTGCTGGGTGTGGGAGTGGGAGGGTTCCTCAGAGCCCTCACCCTTGGAGCAGGCCCCGGGCCCACGCAGGACACACTGTCCTACTTCAGGTCTGACTTACCTGCCTCTTTCAGGCCCTAATGACCCAGAAAAGAAGCCGGCAGCAGGTGAGCCGAGTCCAGATGGAGGGAGGGCAGGCGGCTCAGTGAGGGTGGTGGGGGGATGCCCAGCGGGTGGAGGGAGGGAGGAACCCTGGGCACAGGCTCCAGGGACAACCACTCAGGTGGGTGGGGGCTTGGGCCTGGGAGGAGGGGCAGAGCCTACCCATCACAGGGCTGTGGCTCTCCACTTGTCACCAGCAGCCTCCTGTGTCTCCCCAGATGTGCAGCAACAGCTGGTGCCACCCCGATTCCTGGAGAAGTTCACCTCTAAGAAGGTGAAGAAGGGCTCCAGCATTACTTTCTCCGTGAAGGTCAAAGGTAGGGCATCCTGTCCTTCCTCACTCAGGATCCCCAGAGAGGATCAGAGGCACTGCCCTTCTAGAATCTCTTCTCAGTGGGGGCTGACTGTCCATCATCCACTCCTGCCCAGGTCTCCCCACCCCCACTGTGCACTGGCTGCGGGAGGAGGCCGAGCAGGTGCTGTGGATTGGCCAGGACACCCCGGGCTACACGGTGGCCAGCTCAGCCCAGCAGCACAGCCTGGTCCTGCTGGACGTGGGCCCACAGCACCAGGGCACCTACACCTGCATCGCATCCAACGCTGCTGGCCAGGCCCTCTGCTCCGCCAGCCTGCATGTCTCTGGCTGTGAGTGGGCATGAGTGGCCTGTGGGGATGGGAGGGAGCCACCCTCCCTGAGGACTGTCACCCCCTCTCTGAGACCCTGCCTAGACTCCTCCCTGAGCACAGGCCCCAGGGGACAGGTCCCATCCCTGCCTGTGGGCTCAGACCAGCAGGCCAAGACCTGTAGCAGCCCCTGCCACCCCAAGCAGTCTCTTCCTGGCCCCCTCAGCCCCTCTGTGGGCAGGTCCATCAAGTGTGGACCCATTCCTGTCCCCACCACTGGGGGGCGAGGGGGTGTGGGCTACATTGGGATGCCGGGCACAGCCTTTCCTTGGGGCTCTGGATGGACAGGCCAAGGCCCTACGTAGGGGTGGCCCACACATCCCAGGCAGAGATCCCCACCAGAATCATCTCAGCGGGTTGGGGTCATTCTGGCAGTCACCTGTTCTTCTGACAGTGCCCAAGGAGGCAGGATCAGCAGGAGAGACCGCTGGGGTGAAGGAGGCCCTCATCTCCTCCTTTCTTCAGGGGTGAGTAAGGGCTCCGTCAGAGCTGATGGGGGTGGCTTGGAGTTCTAGAAGCCCTGGGAGGGGGCAGCACTGCTGCCAGGGAGGGAGCCCTATCCTGGACCGCAGCCTGACTCTGTCCCTTGCAAGCTGTGTGGCTTGGGCCAGCCCCCACCCACCCCCCAAATAAAACAACAACTCTGTGCCTCAGTTTCCCCATTGTGAACTGAGGGCTCCCCCGAGCCTGACTGTGGCATCTGGCCCACTGCCCTCAGACTCTTTCTGTCAGAGCTCCCACCCAAGGGTATGTGTGGTGGGTCCACCCCAGGCCCTCAGGATACCCCCACCCCCTTTAGGACCAAAGCCATCTCCGAACAGATGCCTGTGGATTTCACCAACCTTGCTGGGCAGAAAGGTATGGGAAGTGCCAATGGCCGATTCCTAATTTGGGATGGGGTGTGGAGGAGGCTGCCTGGCCCCAGGTGTGGGCCTGATTCTGAGCTCTGGGCCCTGCCAGCCCTTGGCTCAGCTCTCATAGCCAGAGGCTGTGTGGATGCCCAGGTGCAGGGGGCTGCTGAGTCAGAGCTTGGGTGAGGGGCTCCGTATGTTCAGCCCCTTCCCAGGCAACTGCATAGGGCATTCTGGAAACTTGGCATGTTTTTACCTTCTTTATGGAAAATACTGAGTCTGCACAGAAGAGAGGACAGAGCCGTGTGCCCATCACCCAATTTAGGGTCACTTCTTGGATGATCTACAGCTACTGACTTTACCTGCCCTCCCCCCCGCACCCCCCTCCCCCGCCAGCGGCCCTCATTCACCCTTAACCCCAGCCACCGAAGTTTGCCCCCGAGCCCTCAGGCCAGCAATCTGGGTCCTGCCCCTGCCTTCAGTGTCCAGGTGCCGCCCTCCTCTCCCGCAGCCTGGCTGAGCTCCCTGTGCCCCCTGCCCCTCCTGTACCCCTTCCCAGATCAGCCGCCAAGTTGGAACCCCAATGGAGAAAGCACAAACCCATTGGGGGCTCCAGTGTCTTCAAGCTTCCCCGCCCCCCCCCCGGCCTCTACCCAGCTTGACCCTCAGCTGCCCTCGCCCACTGCCCTGCAGCCGCGCTGGTTGCCCGTTCTCCTGACCACCCACCGCCCTCTCCTGGACCCTGTTTCCCTGCATTTGTAGCCCCTCCATCACACCTTGGCCCAGACACCTGTGAGCCATTGAGGCCCCTTATCCTTGTCAGCTTCTCTGCTTCTGGCAACATAGCCCCGAGCCTGTGTACCCATCTCCCCTGAGCCCCGAGTCAGGATGGGCCTGCAGGGGCTGCTTGGGCTTGTCTGGAGTGCACACTGGCTCAGCTAGGGTCTGACCACCAGGAGAGCCCCTGGCAGCCGAGGCCCATGGCCACCTGACCCTGGCTGAGGTGGGCACGGAGGAGTTCCTGCAGAAGCTGACCTCACAAATCACGGAGATGGTGTCGGCCAAGATCACCCAGGGTGAGGGGCTGGCATGGATCAAGGTCCTAGGTGGGGGGTTATGGGGATGGTGACCCAGGGCCAGAGTCCTCCACACCCACACCCTGGAGACCCATGGGGAGGGGCGCAGGGCACTGGCCCTTCCCGGTGTCACATGCCCTTTGCCCCCAGCCAAGCTGCAGGTGCCTGGAGGTGACAGTGACGAGGAGTCCAAGACACCGTCCGCATCTCCCCGTCATGGCCGCTCTCGCCCCTCCTCCAGCGTCCAGGAGTCATCCTCGGAGTCGGAAGACGGGGACTCCCGGGGGGAGGTGCTGGGGGCCCCGGGGGATAATGGGGCCCACGGAGGGGAACAGGAGTGAGGGTGGGAGAGGGAACGGGGGGGGGCCTTCGGGTGACAGGGTGGAGGAGGCTGAGGACAAACAGCTGAGCAGCCAACATCACCACCAGGACCCAGGACATCCCAGCACCCCTGAGGCTCCCCCTTGCCCCTCTGGGGTGGCCCCATCCGGCACCCCTGATAGTGTTTCCATCAGCAGAGGTCAGTGGGGCCTGTTTTAGAGCTTCACAGAATGTTAGGATGGCTTCTTCCTCCCACTTAAGGCCAGGGGCCCTGTGGCCTTGGCCTTGGGAAGCCCCGCCGGCTCCCCTCTGGTCTGACGCAGCTCCCTCCTCCCCAGATCTTTGACATCTACGTGGTCACTGCTGACTACCTGCCCCTCGGGGCTGAGCAGGACGCCATCTCGCTGCGGGAGGGCCAGTATGTAGAGGTGCTGGACTCGGCCCACCCTCTGCGCTGGCTTGTGCGCACCAAGCCCACCAAGTCCAGCCCCTCAAGACAGGGCTGGGTGTCCCCTGCCTATCTGGACAAGCGGCTCAAGGTACCTGGACTGCCCAGGGAGGGGGGTAGGTGAGTTCGGGAACCTGACACCCACAGGGCCAGCCCAGCGCCCAGGCCACCTACAACCCTCTCTGTTCCTTATCAGCTGTCGCCTGAGTGGGGGCCCGCTGAGGCCCCCGAGTTCCCCAGGGAGGCCGTGTCTGAGGATGAGTACAAGATGCGGTTGAGGTGAGGAACCATGGTGGGGGGGTCTTTGGCTGACGAAGTCGGGTGGTGGAGCAACCTTGTGGGGCTGCCCCCTCCACTGTCTCGCTGGTGCCTATTTAGCATTTGAGCTCTTGGTCCCCTCACACTGTGCCTCCAGCTCCATCGTCCAGGAGCTGCTGGCCTCTGAGCAGGCCTTTGTGGGCAAGCTGCAGTTTCTGCAGAGCCACCACATGCAGCACCTGGACCACTGCCCCCACGTGCCAGCGGCGGTGGCCAGCCAGAAGGACGTCATCTTCCGCAACGTGCCGGACCTCAGCCAGTTCCACAACAGGTAGGCGGGCCTGTGTGTGCATACACATGTACACACATGCAGATATACCACACACACACACACACACACACACACACACACGTGTGCATGTACCCTCTGGGTTGGGCCTCCAGGGGTTAGCAGGAGCCAAGACAGACGAGAGAGAAACTGTGCGCACTTGATGTACTTGTTGGAACACCACACCCTTGTACGAAGATACACACATCCTCTGGAACATAGGTGTGTGCACCTGCTTACCCATGAAGTGCTTGCAGCATTCCTACCCGCTATAGTCTCTGTACATAGGCACACATGCCATTACATGCATAGGAATGGGTTACATGGGCACATGTGTGTACATGTACACAGCCACACAACATATACAGCAGACAATGCACATGCACTACATGTGTGTATCTGTTTGCTTGTGCACACATGCCTACACATACATGCCCCGGTGTGCATGCACTTCTTCTATGTATGCACACACACATACCTGCACACATGTGCACACCCTGAAACACCACACACGCACGTCCTCACAGCCCAGCCTGTTCCCAGGAGCCACCAGGACTCTGCCCTGGCAGGAGCCTGTTTCCTCCCAGACCTGGGACAGGCTGGGCAGGGGTGGTGAGCAGGGCCCTGATGCTGTCTCCTCCGCGGCAGCTTCCTGCAGGAGCTGCAGAGCTGCGAGACGGATGACGACGTGGCCATGTGCTTCCTCAAGAACCAGGCGGCCTTCGAGAAGTACCTGGAGTTCCTGGTGGGCCGAGTGCAGGCCGAGTCGGTGGTGGTCAGCACAGCTGTGCAGGAGTTCTACAAGGTGCTCCTGCCCCCCGGCCAGTGCTGACCCCCGTCTCCAAGGTCATCTTCCCTGACCCTGCCCGGCCTCCCACCACCTGCCAGGGCCCCCACAGCCTGCCCAGGTCCTGGGGCCCTGGCTTAGTGAGTAAGGCAGGCAGAGCCCCCGCTGGTGGGGGTTGGGAGGTGAGGCCCACCCAGAGAGGAGGGTCTATGTGCCTGCTCTGGGTGACGTGGGCCACCCAGGCCTTGCCCTCCTGCCCTGAAACCCACTCTGCGGTTCCCACAGAAATACTCGGAAGAGGTGCTGTCGGCCATTGACCCCTCGCAGCCGCCCCCACCGCCGCTGCAGCACTTCCTGGAGCAGCCGGTGCAGCGGGTGCAGCAGTACCAGGCTCTGCTCAAGGTAGGCAGCTGCCCCTCGCCCACACCACCATGTCCTGGGCCCGCGTGGCGGGTGCACCCTGACCAGGTCTCTCTCCAGGAGTTGATCCGCAACAAGGCGCGGAACCGGCAGAACTGCGCGCTGCTGGAGCAGGCCTACGCGGTGGTGTCGGCCCTGCCGCAGCGGGCGGAGAACCAGCTGCACGTGTCGCTCATGGAGAACTACCCAGGCACCCTGGAGGCCCTGGGCGAGCCCATTCGCCAGGTCTGCGGTGGGCGCCATGCAGAGTGGGTGGGGGGCAGAGTGGAGGTCTGTGCCTCGGGCTGACCAAGGGCTGACCCCTCTCCCAGGGCCACTTCATTGTGTGGGAAGGGGCACCGGGTGCGCGGATGCCCTGGAAGGGCCACCACCGCCACGTCTTCCTGTTCCGCCACCACCTGGTGGTCTGCAAGCCCAAGAGGGACTCACACACCGACACCTTCAGCTACGTGTTCCGGAACATGAT